TGTCAAGTCTAACTGTACCTTTCAAAACATCTAAACATTGTGCATTATCAAAGCGATATGCAGATATACACACATCTGAAATGACACAGTGATGTGTAGGCCTGCTGATGTGATTCCCAGACTTCACATGGATCTATCTGAACCACATTTAGTTTTCATTCTAAATAAATGTGTGATATTTTACCGTTCAGGGGATCAGGAACAGCAATTGGCAGCATTTCCTAATCCATGAAATCAGAGTGCTAAGGCTGTTCTAACACCATTCTCAGTGCTCACAACACACACTGGGCCCAATCCCCACAAATACGCCAATTAAAGGCTCTGGGCTTAATCCAAACAAAGAAGCTTCCTGGAGAGGAGGCGAGACAAGGTGCAGTTCCTCCTTTCAGCCTGCAGGTGGAGCCTCTCAGTTTTCAGAGATGTAGGGGAGGTTCTGTCCCCTGTAACAACACATGAATTAGAAAAACATCGAAACTGCAAAATTACCTGGTGTAGTAGCAGTCATTTACCAGTGAGAACATGGCACAGTGAAAGCAGAACATCAAGAAATCCTGATGTTTGTTGAGTCTTGTCAGTCTTACTTATTTTTTTTCAGGTGCATTGGTGGGTTTGACTGTGGCTTTTCATGACCTCGTGTTATTATGATTGATTATAGCCAAGGTGTTGTTGAAACAGTTGCTCATGTGAGTCATTAGGGAAACTTAAATTAAGATACATGCACATGCACAAGCTTGTACCAGACTGAGATGCTTATCAGAAATTTGATTTATGCATTGGTAAACTTTCTTATCTGTCTACGACTCTGTTCACTTGGATTTCAATCAGAAAATTTCTGTGTTTTCAGCTGTATCTACAACTGGGGTAATTGGCCATTATCAAGTAATAACCAGATCTTCATGTGCAGACTCACAAGAAGCCGTCTGGGGAAGAATTGGGCAAGAATTAAAAAAAAAAAAATGAAATGATGAAATAATGGTTAGTACAAGTCTGAAGTTACCAAACACTGATACCAGTCCTCTCTCACCTCCCTCCTACCATTATGATGTTTAATAAAGACAGACAAAGGATGTGTGGCAGATACAGTATGCCTTTGTTGCAAATCTGCAAGTTAAATAAAACAAATTAAAAATCAGCCTTAATCATGTGACATAGTTGTAGAAAAATGTTGTAGATGTGATTTTCTTTATTGGTGTCTTTGGAAATGTTAATTGCGAAGAGCTTCAGCTTCAGGATCATAAACAGGAAAGCAGTAGGCTATGTTGTCAACATGGACTTCATCTCACTGATTGTTAATACAAGGCAAAGGACTGCGTTGCATCTATAGTTTGACCCTGATATGATTTGAACACCATCTGATCTGGAGTCAGACATGCTACTATTGCGCCCCTGGGTCAGTACAGGTGATCAAAGAAACAAAATATCAAACAAAATATACGACCAGCAACCATGTCCTTAATTAATACAACTGATTTCACTGATCTTCAGGCTACGCTGATACAATCTATTGATATATTAGCATGCCTTTAAAGGCCTGTTTGACTTCATCCAAATGTGACCTTTTTGCATGTTCTCTGTCCCTGCTGATCTTGGATCTGCCCTTGACACGCAAGTTCTTGCATGACATGCATGACGTAATGGGAACCAACCAGGGAGTCATTTGACAATAAATGATGATTTCTTACTTCTCTGCTCCCGGGCATTCTCTGTATGCATGATGCAAATTTTATGCAAAGTTCACAAGATAATTCAACAAAGTCACTATTAATGTGTTTTACCACTGAGAAGGGTGAAAGATACCTTCAACAGAGAAAGGTGGTATTGGAAGGCTGTAAAGGTAGAAAAAGGATGCAGTAAATTTCACATGTGTATGAATGAACTACTGTAAAGTGAGCAGTGAATTCTCCAGTGTTAAAGTAAGTCTGAGATGACGGAGGGATGTGTCAGGAATGACTTCCTCCACTCCTGGGACCATGTTGGAGCACGCCTGCTGTGGAAGTAACACCCTCTGTCAGTTACAACAGACACAGATGCAGGTACACGCTTGCTTTGTTTACCATGTCCCTTCTGCACTGCTGCTCTTCTCTCCACACAGGACAAGCCTGGAAATGTGTGGATGAAGAGTTGTGGAAAATTGGGAATTTTTGCTGTATGGTGGAATAGACAAGACGACATTTTCTCAGGTTTAGACATTTGCTGTTATTTCAACTATACAGTCACACAGCATAGTTAGTAAATGGAAGACATCTTGCCGCATAAATCCCACTGACATTAAAGTTTGTCATGTCTGGGAAAACATTCCTAAAACTACTCATCTTCTATACTCTATTTTACTATTGTTGTGTCATATTTCTTTTTGCATTGTAACAGATGAATATTACCAAACTGTAATGTTCCCAGATGTAATTACAATTCTATCACTCTTTAACTCTATAACCAAGCTCATATGTTGGTGTATTAATTATGAAATCTAATTCCCACACGTGAACACAGCATGTAGCAGAGAAAAACTGGCCAGGGCGTCTTGGCTGTAGATGTTATTGCTCTCTTGGAACACTTTCATGTAGCACTCAAACACATTATGCAGTACTGTAAATTACAGAGTGGGATTTTTCTTTTTTTTAGTCAGACAGAGCTGAGTGTAGATGCATCTAAGTGATGATCAACAACAAACATGAGACTGAGGACTGTTAGGTAATTTTAAGATCCAAAACGTAGTGAATGAGACACAGAACGCTCTTTATAACTGGAAGATGCCTTCTCAGGCCACTGCCTCACGCCTCCTCCTCCTCCTACCTGCATTCCTGATGCCTGATTCCTGGTGCAGTGGATATACGACAGTTCAGGCTTGCGTCTCATAGGAAGCATTGACCTGCTCATGGATGGATTTTATTGTCACAATCAACAACAGAAAATGAGGAAAATAAATTCCCTGACTATCTTATCTTCTTTCAAGTGAAAAGAAACCTTTGAGTTGACATGTCAAATCAATAAATACACTGTGGGGCTTTATGTCATCTTTTGTCAGTTGAATCAATGTTCCAGTGATTTCAGGTGTTGGTTTTCAATAAATACACACGTGTAGCTCATAAAACAAGATATAACTGAGACTTAGATTTTACACCATGAGACAAAATAGCCTTCATCATCATGCTCCTTACTTTGATTTTAAGGATAGTGTAATTATGTCTTTTCACCACTAGGGGGAGGTAATAGTTATGTAAAAGTAGGGAACTGTGTTGGAGCAGCTGATATCAAAGTGGACTCCCTGTGTTGCCAGTTTTTCACTTTGTAACTTTAAAGCATGGGTGCATAACTGTGGCTTGAACTTGATATGATTTGACCACACAACCCTCTGATTTGGAGTCAGATGTGCTGCCGTTGCACCACAAGGTCAAGACACATGGATCTCTGGCACTAGACATTGTATGTACCCAGCAGCCCTGCCTTGAGTTAGTACTAAGACTCAGTAAGACTGAAAGACTGATCTATGGATTCTATTGGTATGGTCAGATTCCATCAGAGCAGGAAAATACAAACAATTAACCAAGAAAAAAAAACAGAACTGAAAGTTGATAAAAAATTTTTGCAGGGTTATAACCTTTAAAGCTCACTTATATCTTGCATTGAGATACTGTAGTTGAAAAAAGGGAATGTGGATCTTGCACTTGTGTTCATGTTCACTCATTTGGATGACATCAGTTCATAAAGAATAGGAGCTGCAGGGAGTGAAGCTCCACAGAAAGGTTGCAGCTTTTATCAGTAAATTGGGTCATATTGTGGATCTGGCCTTGGGCTGATTTCTCATCCTGCACTGCACTTCAATAATTTAGACATATGCATAACTTTAATATGCGCTTTGTTATCAGTGGCATAAGTACAGCTCACTCACATACAGGTCTGACTTCGGTGTGTTCTCAGCAGCTCCTTTGACAGCATATGTATAACTCATTCAGTGTGTCTCATCCATTTCAGTTGAAATACAACATCTGTTTATGCGTATGAATCATCCAGGTATAGTCACAGATACAGCAAATCCAAGTGTGGTAATACATGCGCAATACTTGTTGCAATAGCCCTGCAGTGCAACCTGAGCCCAGATCAGGGTTTCCTCGACTTACCCAACCGTTACTCCAAAACTCAAGAATCTCCATCTGATAAGATGTTGTCTGACTTCAGTGGAATCCCACGTGAAATGTTTGCACAGCAGGTCGATATCATGATCTCCACTGTGTGCACTGACAGTCCACTGTTTGAGCCAGGCCCTGCTGTTCTGTTACTGTGTGAACCTCCGGTGAGTACTGTGCACATAAAGTTCTCCTCGAACTATTGCACCTGCCCCAGGTAAAGCTGGATTACCAACTAAAGCAAGCAACTGCCCCAGGGGTCCCCAGGCACTTAGGGTCCTCAAAAGCCCTGTGATGTCTGTTTACTTACATTTGGGTTTAAACGGATGATCACAAACTAAATATGGTAAAGCTAACCTGAGGCAGAGGAGTACTCCATTGCAGAAATTATTTTTTGGATGCTGGGAAAAATTGGTTGGGGTAATATGTGTGTGTGTGTGTGTGTGTGTGTGTGTATGCGCGCGCGAGGGCTCATGGTGCCCACAACTCACTCATGGACTCCTGTGGGTTATTCTGGCCCTGGTCCCATGACTTGAAGGGACCGTAAAAGTCCCAGACTCAAGCTCTGGGATCTAGATTATAGCCACCAATAATAAGCTTTTAAAAAATAAAAATATGGTTTAAGGTATTTTTTTTACTCACAATGACTACTGATCACCATGACAACATGAACTCAACAAAAGTGATAAAGTTTTTTCATGACACCATGCTGTAGCCCGCCACACATCTATACAGATTACAAACCCATGTGTTTTTATGTGGAAGCAGAGAAACAAAACTTCACTTAGTTCGTCCTCAGCTACAACCTGCACTGCATTGGTTGGAGACATTCTTAGTGCCTGCTCTAACATGTGGGCGCACTCGCAGTGTCAGTCCAGTTGTGCGCTCCCGCTGGAGAGGCTTTTTGTTGGGAAGTTTCTGTAAGTGAGTCAACACGGCACAGGGAGGACGCCACCCAGCAGCACTGCCGCTGGATCCAATGCTGGGCTTCTCTTCTCCTCCCGAGGACCCAGGACACGAAGACAACTTCGCTTCGGTCTCTTCACAACAGCTGGGGATTTAGTTTTTAACCTTCGCACACCGGGGATGGTTATTGTCGTTTTGACGCGGTTTTTTCCTCATTGGAATTAACGCGGCGGAGGTGAAATGAAAGTGACGGTGTGTTTCGGGAGGACCCGGGTGGTCGTTCCGTGTGGAGATGGGAATATAAAAGTCCTCAGCCTTATTGAAAAGGCGGCCATGAGGTATAAAAAGGCGATCGCAAAGGTAAGTCACCCCCCCCCTCCCCCTCCCTCCCCACGCACCGCTTTTGCAACGTTTCGCTCCGAGTGTGCGGAGCAGCACACTGCATCCACACTGCCGCCTCAACATGGCGCTTTTCTCGGGCTGGAAAGAGGGAGAGAGTGGGCAGAAGAGAGCCAGTGGCTGCCCCTGGAATCGGACCCAGTAGGGACCCCCAGCCCCCCCCCCGGTGCAGGGAGAGTGAAGGGGTCACAGGGGAAACTTTTCATTGTTATTTCAAAGGAGATGCTCCATATTCATTTCATCATGGTGGTTCACTCTTTTCCTCCACAACTATTCTAAGAAGTTGTGAAGCAGATGAGCCAAGTTTCTGCTGTCTCCTGTATCTGTTAGGCTGAGCATGAAGGGGTTGCGGAAACACTGGAACTGTTCCCATTGAGTGCTGGTTACACTGGCAGAAATCATCCAGTGTGTTGAGCAATGAGGGTGATAAATAACCCGCGCTCTGTGAATGTGCTTCTGTGTAGGTGTGTTGTAAAACCTCACAGGAAAGCAGCTGCTGCAAACAGACAATAAATATATGAAAACTGTAAATCTTAGTAGGATTATTAGTTACACATGAGTTCAGTATGCCTGTGCTGTAAATTCACTGTCACTTACATTACAGACATATTTTAATCTATTTGTCTTTATATCAGTTACTCTGTTTTATGGAAAAGTGGTGATAGGATAGTGGAATGAGTCTGACTACTCCGTCTACTGATGAGGAAACTCTGCTCATTGCTCTTCAATTACACGCTGAGAAAACAGGTTTTAAGTTCATCCAAGTTTCATCTATTAAATGACGGAACGCGTGACTGTGTGAAACCCCCTCTGCCAAATTTGAAGGACACTGATTGCTTTTCCCTTTGTGGGATTCCAGTGGCTGTGCTTTAAGGCCCATTAAATGACTAATGAATGAATGAAAGTTGGGAACTGTTGCCACGTTTGGTGACAGCACTTTCTTCTCTCCAGTGGGTGGTAGCACCATTGGAGTCGCGTTAATGCTGCAGCTTTTACTTAAGGGATTCTAATACCTTTTTTGAACCCATTCTTGAATCGGCAAGTTATACCTTTGAACTGTTTTGGCTTTGGAAAACTTTCAAGTTCTCTTTTCTTGACAGAAGGGCCTACAGTAAGACTTAGACAGGTGTCAGACAGATCTAGAGGGAGGGTGTAGTGAAGTCATACAGGATGTGGATTTGATTTTTTTCCCCAGTGTATTGCCAGAGATTCAGCGCTTTGCTTTAAAGGCCCCATAGTGTATAAGGGGATATTTCCATGTCTTTTTTGATCATAAAGCAGGTCTAGGTTCTATATTAAAACTGTGAAAGTATGAAACCTCTCAGTCCACAGAGAAATGCACACAGCCTGTATTCAGAAACTGAGCCTTAAAACCAGCCGTCAGGACTTCTGTAACTTTGTGATGTCAAAACAAGACAGTCACCGCTTTCAGCCATGCCCCAAGCCCCGCCCACCTGGACCCACTGTCCAACCTTGCAGGATTTGGTTTCTCTGAGCGTTTACCTGAAATCTGCTATATTTTTACTCGATCACACAGAAAACAGTGAGCCAATCAGAAGAGAGAATCAGAGCCTCTCTTCTGCTCACTGACTTAAAACTTTTGGTACTTAAAAACACAAATATATCTACTTATGGATATCAACACTTAAAAATAAAACACAGGAAAAGTGTAAAATATGGGACTTTTAATTACCTACTTTTCATTTTACATCTCCATGGAGACAGATAAAATCCCCTTTTACGTCCTGGAGAAAATGAATATTCACTGTTGCACCTCAGTAGATTCTCCCACCGAGGGCAAACAGTGACAAAGTAGGTCAACATTAACGCTCATTCCTGAAGAGCACTTCCTCCTTAGACACACACCAGCAGTTACACACACACACACACAATTTCACTCCTTTGTTTACCAGCGCTTGATGGTTTTCCATGGTTCAGCAGAATAGAGGCGACTGGTCCATTGATCCATGCAGTGGTACTGTAAATGGAGAAGTGTAGGCTTTCCCTCCGGAGAACACTTGGCTCTGGGTCAACACTAACTACTGTATTGCGGGCCAGCCAAGACCTTTGGACTGCAGAAGACATAATCACACATAGGCCACTAGAGTTTTATGATATTCCTGCAGCTGACAGCAATGCAGAAGTGCTGTAAACCTTAATTTGAAAGCGTAAAAGTTGTTTTTATGGCTGCATTAACAATGTAATAAAAATCACAAACGACCTCAAAGATGTTACAGTGTTACATCCCATAGCAGGCATATACTGTGTCATTCAATATGAGATTGAAGGCTCAAATGAAACCATAGAAATTGTGTAAATCAGACATAATTCACCCCAGACAGCAGTCAACTCAGGTGTTTCAGCAGTGGCATGAAAAACGGAGGAGCAAGGGAAAGTGAAATAAGCATCTGCCACAAATCAATAGCCCCTGTCTGCAAAGGCACATCCTGCAACGAGTGTTTCTATAGAAGATGACTTTTGAGAAGTGTAGGACTGTTGCTTCAGTCCAGTTATATGGGATATGGGTACGCATGAATCAGTTGACAAAAAAAAATTTGATGTAAGATTCAAAGTGTGAGATTCAGTGTGTGAACGCAGCCTCATGCTCTCTGAAGGCCAGTTTATACTTATGTGTTGAATTGTAAGAATCTACACCGTAGCCTTATGTGCACCTCCCTCGCATGGTGGCGCGTCTCAACCCCGTTTTACCTCAATCTAACATGATCTGCTCAGGTTCGGTCGCCATTGTTGTTTCTAATAAGATGCCAAACACTCTCTGGAAGCTAAAAACTGTCCTCGTGCCTCCACCTACATTCTGCTTGACTCTTAATGTCTTTATCTACCTCTTTATTATACATGAACTGTCCCATTTGTTAGACGTATTGCTCATCTTGTTATGGCGATGCCTTTTATTGTTGCACCCGTAGATCTTAGTTGCCTATAGACGTATTCTCCTCTCTGTATTTGAGGCTGTGAACGAGCTGTGCTGAATTGGCTGAACCCAATCAGACACAAGCTGCTCCGGTGTACCTGATCCTCTCCGGGGACACTTGAAAGCTTCATCACAGTCTCAGTGGGAGCAGGAAGTGCGCATCAATCACCCCCTCAAGCACCATTAAGTTCAGAGTCAATCTGGTCCACAGTATTCACAGTCATGAAGGATTCATACTAAATGGCTTTTCATGCTTCTCATCCTGCCTTTCTCCTGACAAAGCTGTTGTTTTTAGCCCTTGGCCAGTGGAGCAGTAAGTGAGTATTTACCACATTGAAGTCATGTAAGCAGGAGCAATGTGAAGATGTTATTTTGTGGGCTGTCCTGTTGGCATACGGAACACCACATGGACGTGACTGGGAGGCTCAGATCTTTACTCATTCTCAGACAGTCTGGTTTCACCCACATCTGGTACACCGTCAGAGACATAAAACAAAAGAACACTCAAACACAGTCACAGTCGCTGGATCCATAATTTGTGGCTCTAACTCCAGAGCTCCAACTCTGCATCTCCAGATCCTATTTATCTTCTACTTTCCCACAGCTACTAAATGTAGGTTGAAGCACATAATTGCCCTTTTTTTTCCCTCCCAGAATTCCACAAATTCAGGCTTGCAGACACGTCACAGCCCTCGTCGAGTTGTCAAAATACACGGAGGCAGAATTTCTTTAGGGGACAACACAGTCAAGGAAAACAAAGTCGCATATTTTCACATTATCCCTTCTTTTATTTCACAGTGGATCAGCAGCACATGATGAGCACGTGTCCTCTGGTTCCTGGATGTCTGAAGACAATCCCATGTAGTAATGATTTATCTCTCCTTATAGCCCATCCAGATGCACATGACATCACAAAATAGTAAAAGCCTAGCCGCTGACTTAACACTGAGTTAAGTGTCCACTGGAGAAATAATGAAAAAAAAACAGTTAAACTAAGATAAGGTAACACGTGGATTCCTTTTACGTGGTGAAATCAAGTGGTATTACTGAGTACAGGAATTTATAGGACAGTCTGACTTTATGCTGTGCACTATTGTCTATCCTGATTACCACTTAAAACAGTGGTTCTACAATGAAATTCTACAAACAACACTTCTCTAAAACTATAATGAACAGCAGCATGGAATTTGTCAGCTGAAATTCAAAGGTTAACTAAGAATTTAACTGCTACTGGAAGAGTTTGACATTTTGTATTCTTGCTGAGAGTTACATGAGAGGATGGATAAAATATGAATCAATATGTAAATAAATACGCTTTAGAGCTGTTTCCCTCCTTAAACAAGTTAGATGCTGGGTTTAGCTCCATATTTTGAGTACAGAAGTGAAAGTAGTATCCCATAATGTCAAACTATTCCGTTGAAATTACAGTTTTCAAGAGTCTTGAAAGATAAAATGTCACTTCTTTAAAATTAGATTAAAATAAGATTTAATGTGTTCAGTCTCAATCTTCTTACAAATTTCCCTTTATGTTGTTTTTAATTGTGAGTTTTTTTCTGTTAACTGTTGTCAAAAAGTGCAATTACATCCACTGTGACTGAAAGTTAAAAAAAACAAAACATGAAAACAGGGCAGTGAATATTTTCTTATGGGTGCTGGATAAAGTAACCTGTTTGCTGGACTTGAAAGAACCTGTAGGCAGCATGACACACAAGGACAGGACACATACACTGAGGGAAATGGACAACCAAGAACTGCGATGATCTGCATTTCAGCTCCGTGGACCCACAATATCACACTCACACCTGGAAGGCTGTCTGTTCCTGACCCCTGTCCTTAGGCTCCCGGTCTCTCCGGCTCTGTGTCAGTTCAAAGCAAACTGGCGATTGAGTAACTTTTAGTCAGAATAGACAGTTTTTCTGCAGCAGGGCTAAGTTAGGAAACTCAGCATCTGTTTGTAACATGTTTTGAAGCATCAAATTGATGTTGATTCGTTGGGAAAGTAAATGAAAAAAAGGCCTCAAAAATAGAA